ATGGAATATTGTTGCCATATCTAGAATGGATCTTTAATTAATGTCTTTTCTCTTCTAGACAAGGTACAAAAACGCATTGTAATCATTGTTGGACCTGCTTTTGAAGCCAACTTTCAACCATTGATACATCATAACATAATATTGCTTGTTTTTCTATAAATTCTATAATGGGCGTTGCTCTAAATGACATACATCTCTTGTGCCATTTACTAAAATTCATTCTTGTGTTATTGTCAATCAATTAAGTCTCATCCTCTTTCTGTGACTGGTCCTAAGTGCTCCAAAAACTCCTATTCCCCTATTTTTTTCTCTATACTTTTACTGTGACTGTGTTAAGTGCATTAACTTCTAACTCTAATAGAGGTTGCTTGCTGCCTTATTGGAAGTAAAGATATTTAAAAAAAAAGAAGGATAAAAAGCAGCTCAAGTGAAATAGCTTGTAGCTTACATTACATCGCTTGATGCGTATGTATATGACCATTTTACTCTTCAAAACAAGGCTTGTAAATATCTTTACATTTATACATCTAGTATCTATGTATTTATGTATTAAATTATATAGACTCTTACAACTAGCTTTATTGTTATAAGCCGTTGCTAATTAAATTTTTATTTAATGTTACTTGATTAACTGAATAATATTACCTAGTTTTTAATGTTCTTAACCTTGTAACAGTTGTTAAAAAAAACTTTAATAGTAATAACAAAAGGATGGGGTTAAAACATTAAAAAACTGAAAAAATGTTAAATGTTTTAAGTACAATTTGTTTTTTTATTTTATTCACCTCCCAAGGTAAGAGAGTTACTAAAGTTGAGGAGACTTTTTTTTTGTGGTTACACCCCTCACTCAACTCTTTAACTCTTTAAAGAAGCACCATACCACTATGCCGCTACCACATAACTACCACTCTCTTGCTAACCATACTAACCATAACCATATTTTTAATTAGTTTTTTTTCAATTTTAATTTGTTTTAAAAGATTTTTGAATTTATTTTAGTTTTAGTGTCCATCACATTGATTGGGCAACCTTGGTTATTTATTTTCCATACTATATAAAAAAATGTATTTATATTAAGGGTGTCTCAAATAAGATATCTGGGCCGGATAGAAGTATTATTTGATATCCGGTATCTGGGCAGATAATAACTTTATACGGTTTTTGATATACTGGATATTTCATGTTCATGTCATTTATACGGTTTTTGATATACTGGATATTTCAAATTAATGTCATTTGAAAGAAGTCTAGAAATGTTAAATTTTTAAATAATCTAATGTTAATGGTTTCTATTAAATTTTGTTATTAATATTTTTATTATTTATTATTATTATTGTTATTAAATTTCTTTTTTTTTTTTTTCTTTTTTTTGTTATTCATCTCCTCAAGGCCGACAAGGCCACTACAGATGAGGAGGCTACTTAATAGTGGTTATAACCCTCTCTCAACTCTATAACTCCGAAACACGAACCCTAACAAATAAGGCTGCTGCGCGGAGAAACAAGTTAAGCGTGGTACTACCAGGAGCCTGGTGGGGATCGAACTTGGAACCTCTTGCTTATGAAGCAAGCGTTTTACCACTACACCATCACCACATGTTCATGCAAATACTATTAAAATTATATATGTGCAACAAATACATCAGTTTGTCACTCAAACTGATATATTTGCAAATAAATTTATTTATTTATCACAAATAAATAATAAACAATAACAACAATAACAACAATATCAATATATTTCGTGTTACAGATGTTACAAAAACACAGGTCATTACAAATAGTGATTCACTAATAAAGCGCAATTACCTAAATAAGATAAAAATAGTAATAACAATAATAATAATAATGTGTAATAAGTAAAACCACATAAAAAAAAGTAGGTTAAAAAAGGAAGTTAAATTAAATAAGTTAACATAATATTAACTAATAAAAGTAAAATTGCATAAAAATTTAATTATACCAAAAAACCAGACTTTTTGAATATATATAACATAATTAATATTATGTACATTTATACAAGCACATATACAAGAATTATAATAAAATAAGTAAATTATAATAAAAATAACTATTTAAAATAAAATATTAGAAATTAAGTTATAATAAAATAATAAAAATAAAAAAATAATTCAAAAAGTAAAAAGGTAAAAAGTAAAGTTAAGCGTAACCTTTTAGGTAGAAATGATGGAGTGACTTTAAGAACAGATTCTTGAACCTAAGGATGAGACCTGAAGAGAGTTCCAAGAAAGGATACACTGGTATGTAATGGAATTAATTCCATGTTTACTTTTCTGTTTTAGTGGGAGAGTTAAGTTGTTATAAGTGACTGATCTTAGGTTATGCCCACATGTTGTTCTATTATTAAAGTAGTTGTGAAATATAGTAGGAAGGACACCATGTTGTTGATCCCAGACAAATGAACAATTTAAGAACTGAATTAAGTCATAGAAACGAAGAATTTTGGATGTAAGATATAGGATGTCAGTAGGAATATTTCTTGGACAAAAATGAATAATCCGTACTGCTCTATTTTGAAGTGAAACAATTCTAGAAATACATACGGTTTTAGATTGTCCCCAAACTTGACATGCCTATCGTAAATGTGAACCAAAAATTGAGTGATATATAGAGAGAAATGTTTCAAAGTTAACGTAATGTCGAACTTTTGCTAACATGCCGTTGGAACGGCTTAACTTCAGAGTAAGGTCGGATATGTGTGTTTTGAATGAAAGTTTTTCATCCAACACAACACCAAATTAAGTTATGTAACTAGACAAGTACATTTTTTGACCACTTAATCAAAAGTTCAAGTATTTTGGAATATTTTCTTAGTTTTTTTAGAAAAGTTAGTATTTCGAGTCTTAAATATAATTATTTTTGATTTTTTAGTATTCAATGAGATTTTATTTCCTCAAAGCCATTGAACAAGACTGGCCATATCCTGATTAATATATTTATTAAGTTTTTTGAGAGAGTTTGTTATTAATTGAAGATTAGTATCATCAGCAAAATGATACGTTTTTGTGAATGTTTGATAGAAAGATTGAGATCATTAATATAGATAATAAAGAGAAGAGGACCTAATATGGATCTCTGAGGTATACCTATTGAAACGTTTTTAATATCTGAGCTGGTTCCATTTATAGTTACAAACTGTTGACAATCAGAAAGGTATGATTTGAGCCACTGCAAGGATATGTCACGTACACCATACTAGTTAAGCTTTGAGAGGAGAGTTTCATGGTCTACGGTGTCAAAAGCTTTTTGCAAATCAACAAAAACCCCACAAGCAAAGTTTCCATTATCAAGAGCAACTCTTATACTTTCTGTAATTTCAATAAGAGCGTGAGCTGTTGACTTTTTATGAAAACCTAACTGCATTGATTTTGGTTTAGAAATATATAGAGTTCCTGACACCATTTTAAAAAGTTTTGTTGGAAGACTGTTTGGTCCAACACTCCTCCCTTCTATAATAGAGGAATTTATATAATCGAGAGTTTCCTCTTTCATATTATATATTTGTTATAATATTTCTCCATGTTGAGGTGACATCCTTGATGGCTTTTTCTCATGAATATTTCCATATTCTGAAAATAATCTTTCCAAAAATATAGAGGGTGCAGGTGGTGCTAGTAACCTAAGTGCTAACTCTTTTAGCAGTGGAAGATTTAATTAATTTTTTCTATAATTGAGTGATTAAAGGAAGCATCAACTTCTTGAGCAGCTTTTACAAGGGAGTCTTGATTAGAATTCAATACAATTTGAACTTTTTTGTGCAGATAAAGAAGATTCAATATTAATTTTTTTTTCCTCTTCCTGCAATTTACAAAGAAACTTTTTTGCGTAATTATGTAGTGGAGTTGTAGAAAATAACATCTGACCAGATTTATTACATCCCCTGCTTATCTGCTTTCCAAATGCAATGCAAATTACTGTGGAATCACAGCTATTATTATTTTGAAAAGCTTCCAAACCAAACTCACCATTTTGAAGATTTATCACAGTATTGTGTCGTAATAAAATATATATTTTAGGATAACTTTAATATCTAGGCTTCGAACATCCGGTTGGATAATTAAAAAATGTTATCTAGGACACCCCTAACTTATATACATTTCTATCCATTATTGGTAATGTCCTTCTTCCACTCTGAAAATAAATCCTGTTGCAGTTAAACCTATCATATATATATATATATATATATATATATATATATATATATATATATATATATATATATATATATATATATATATATATATATATATATATATATATATATATATATTTATATATATATCTGTGTGTGTGTTTGTGTGTGTATATTAATAATAGTTTAATATAGAATATAACTATTTTAAATCGCATCTGACATCTAATAAATGTAGAAGAAAAAAAGAGGAATAAATTGTAGGAGCTAACTGAATCTAGGGAACAAATACTCATTTTTATAACTTGTTGTGCATCAATCTAGTTCTATTGCACACATCTAAATAATCTTACAATTTCAAAACAGTTATGACATGTATATATAAAAATAGCTAGTATCATGTATATTATATATACATGTATATATAATAAATAACGTGTATCATAAAGCTTGCTTTGATAAAATTTAAGATTAAATAAATTTGCACATTATTTAAATAAAACATGTGGTAATGGTGTGGTGGTAGATTCATAATTTACTATTTTAAATGTAAATGTAAAACGTTAATAAATTTTCTGTTTTGGTTCAACAAAAATGTTTTTTATTTTTTAAACCTTAATAATGAAGCTTCTGTTAAATTTAAATTTTGTCATAAATGTTGTATTGTATTATGGTTTCTGTAAGTTTGAATTCCAGTTTTTTTTATTACTTTTGTTGTTGTTGTTTTTTTTGTTGTTTTTTTTTCAGAAAGATTTAAAAAAATGTTATTTTTATGCAGTTTGGTACAAACAGGGTTTTGTAATCATTTTCATATTTATTTTTTATTTTATATTATTTTATATTTTTAGTTCCCCCATTGTTTGTAATTGAGTTCCTTCACCGTGTTGGAGACACATTTGTAGACTATTTTAGTGATTTTAATGAACAAGTTATCAAGGATCAAATTGTTGTAGTATACGAGGTATTTATTTTGTGTATAAGAAACATTTGCCACTATAAAATTATCAGGGTGACATCCCTGTTTTCAAAAAATTATTTTTAATGAAAAAGTTTATATAGTTCTATTAGAACAAGGGTAATTTAATATAAAAGTTTTTACCAGCAATATATGTTGTATAATAAAGTATATTTCATAGCTGCTTGAAGAAATGCTTGATAATGGTTTTCCTCTGGCAACTGAGAGTAATATTTTAAAAGAACTTATCAAACCTCCTAATATAATAAACAAAGTTGTTAATTCTGTCACTGGGAGTACTAAGTAAGAAAATTTTGAATTCTTAATTTTATTTACTTTAACTTATTGTTTGGACTTGTTATTATTGCATACATTTTTATTCATTACAAACATTACTTTAAGATATGAGGTTTTACATATTTAATATAGTGTTAGCAATGAGCTTCCCACTGGTTCTTTATCAAATGTTCCATGGAGAAGGTCAGGAGTCAAATATGCAAATAATGAGGTGAATTTTAATGTTAAGCTTTTTTTTACCTTTGTGTTTATAAAAAATAATTCAAGCTTGAAGTTTGTTCAATTCTAGATTTACTTTGATATCACAGAAGAAATTGATTGCATAATTGATAAACAGGTTTGTTTATTTATTTTTTCACAAAAACAAATTTAAAAAGTTTTTAAATTTATAAATTTTGTAAATATGTTTAAATAAATAACCTTTACTTTGTTAAAGATAAGGAGAATTAAATATTTTTTATTTAAACCGTATGTTGCATGATGATTTCCAAATTTTTTTAGGGTTCGATTATAAATCAAGAGATAAATGCATATGTATGTTGAGCTTTTTATTTTTTATATTATATTTATTTATTAGTAGATTCAAATAAAAAAAAAAAAAAACAAGTTGTCATTTCTAACCTCCATCAGTTCTCAATTTTTGAATAAGCTTTTTCAAATCTCAATTATTAAAAAAATTTAGTATTAAAATTTTTTAATAACTACAAAAAAAATTGTAATTTTTTTTTCAGATTGATTCATTTACTAGGCTTTCTGGAATGCCAGGTTTATTTTTATATATTTTTATCAGGATAAGTTATTACATACATACAAATGTTATTTTTATACTTTGTTTTATATTAATAAATGCAGATTTATCTGTACGCAGCATGTCATAGATGGCTTCATACTGATATATTTGTGGTAACTTAAATACATAGATTAACTGAGAACCTGGATTTGGGCAGACAGCTACAATAGCATATATAGCAATTGCTTACTAATTTTCCTTATCTTTATAACATTGTATTTTTTGAGTAAAAGAAGAAGAGAAAAAAAAAGTATAATGAAAGAAGAGATTGCTGCCCCATCCCAAACCCTCAGTTGATGTAGCGGCACTCCTTTGTGGCAACAGGCTATAGGATGTATGTACTGAAACCCTCAACAGCAGGCTATTTCTGTATGACATAAGACATTTCATTTAAACATGCATTTATAGTTGTATGTATATATATATATATATATATATATATATATATATATATATATATATATATATATATATATATATATATATATATACTCTTGTTTGATTGTTTTTGATTTTTACCATAAAATGTAAACTTTATGTTTTTAAAAAAAAATTAATTTAGAAGAATAAAAAAATTTTAAAACTTTTTAAATTAATAGAAATCCAAACCAAAACCCTCAGTAGCAGCACTCCTGGCATATTCTACCTATTTTTAAGTTGATGTAGTGACACTCCTTGTATGTTCTACCTATTTCTCAGTCAATGTAGCAGCACTCCTTGCATGTTTTACCTATTTCTTAGTCAATGTATCTAAACAGTAAAAAAATTAAAATTTTCAGAATGTTTTTATTTTTATTAAAAAAATTAAAATATTCTAATCTATAAAGTTGCATTTTTGGGAGAGAAAGAGAGAATACGTTAAAAAGCGTAAAATATAAAACCAAGAAAATATTATGATATGGGGACTACAATTAAAACATCAGTATTATATTTAAATTAGCTCCTATTTTGAATAACATATTACACAACAAAACAAATCTCATGAGAAAGTACAGGGGTGTACCCTTTTGGTCATCTGATGGCACGGGATGACTAGTATTCTCGACAACTGGGATTTAAAAAAAATTCCCGTCAGTAGCCCGGCATGACAACCAGACAGTTTGTTACTTAGACTGTGTTTATTAATAAAAGAATATTTTGAATTATAAAGATTTTATTTCTTGTGATTATTAAAAAAAAACTTTTAATAACCATTTAAAGTAGTATACACTTTGTTTAATGAGTGCACTATGGTGCGTTAAATAATTTTACTAAACTTGATAAAAAAAAGCTGAAGCACTATTTAATATTTAATAGTACAACTTTATTGTTTTTTTAAACGTTGTTGTTGCATTTTAAAGCGCATTTCTTCTCAATTTTAAATGAGTTAAAATTTAAAATATTACTTTTTTTTTCAATTCAAAAATCATGTGAATGGGCCATTCACTTGATTTTTGTTAAAGTTAAATCATTAATAACATTTGATATCTCATGTTTTCCATTAGTAAACTAAATTTTTATTTTACCTTTATCAAACAAAATTAATAATAAAAAGTTATAAAAAACTATTAGAATGCACTTAATGACACACATAGAAATTATGTATGTGTGTATATATGTGTATATATGTGTGTGTGTTTGTGTATGTGTGTGCATATATACCTATATAAATTATAATGTTATAGTATTATGGTAACTTTATAGATCTCACTCTTTCACTAATCAATCCTCGCTTGCTTGATGATGTTAGTTTTCATCCATGTATACGATTAAAAAGATGGGAGGTAATTCTTGTTGCAGTAAAATATTTTATAGATTCTTATAGTTTTTTCAAAATATTGCTTTTTTTAGCATTTCATTGAATGAAAACTTATATTTTTGTTATCTGATAGGAATTGAAGACCTTCGTGCAAAAATGTTGTAACTCCACTTTTTATCGATTTTTATGTTTTAATGGATTATGAGTATATAAAATAAGTTCTATCAGTTAGTATACAAATGACATAGATTAAAGCACTTCTGGTATAATTAAACTCATGGTTTGGTAAAAAAAATATGTATTCCCTACTTATAAAATTATTCCGTTTTTTCTTTCCTCTGAACAATTTTCAAAAATGGAGTTACATCTTTTTTGCACCGAGGTCTTCAATTTATTGGTGATGGTTTTTAAAAGATGATTTTTTTCAGATTGTAAAATTTTCTTCAAGTTTTAGTTTATACAGCTTAAAGATTTTCTTGATCAGTCAAATATTTGATCTTATTGACAAGAAGATTGTCTTGATCGGTCAAATATTTGAACTTATACAACCAAAAGATTGTCTTGATTAGTCAAATATTTGATCATATATGACAAAGATTGTATTGATCTGACTAATAATCGGATATTGAGGCTAATATAAAATCTTAATGGTTTTTAAATATTTTTAAATATAATGTTATTTTATTACATGGAATATGTTTTTGGTTTGATAAAAATTTTTAAAGATTAAAGTTTCGCCCTGTAAATTAGTATGACACCATGTTACCCTGTAAATTATGGTTTGAAACTTCAAAATAAAGGAAAGCTAAAGTTTATGTAAATAGAGTAAAGCTTGCACAAACTCTTCAAAGGGTTTTTTTCTTAATGTTTTTAAAAGTTATGTATCTCTATACTTAAATGATTTGATCTATCCTAAAGACTTCAGGGTCTTAATGGTTAATCTTAGTGGTTTAATTATTTTTTTGTTAATTTTTGAATTAATTTTTTTTTTCATTAATTTATTTTTTATAGAACGAGCGTCTTTTATCATTTATTCCACCTGATGGACAGTTTAGACTTCTTTCTTATCACATCACTGGGGGGTAAGTGTTTTTGAAACAATATATGTATGTATATCAATCAATAGCATTATTGGCATTACAAAATTTTATTGTTTAATTTTGTTTTCCTAGACAAATTCAGTTACCAGTTAATGTGAGGCCTCAGATTTCATTTATATCAGTAAGTTTTTTTTCACAATAATTTTTTGTTTGTTCATTTTTTCAACTTGTAAAGTTATTTTCTAAAACTTTTTGGCAAACTTGAAGCAAATTATCAATAGCAAATTCTTTTTAATTTATTTAGCTCTGTTTTCACCAAGGAATTTAATAACAAAATACCATTCTTTAAAAATAGGACAAACATATGTGATGACCCTATATTTTCACCAGACACAATATCTATAATCCTAAAGTCATTAGATCCAAATAAATGTACAGGAGTACAGTGGTTTTTTCCTGGTTGCCCTACGGGCAACTGAAACAGTTTTTATTTCTCATTTGAGTTGTCCGCAATGATAAATCAGCATTCTAGTGTAAAAGTTTTTTTTTTGTTTTTTTCTTAGGTGAAAATACTGAAGAAAAAAAATTTAAACATCTGACTACTAAAATACGTCTAATAAGAAATGGTTTATTTAAAAGTAAATTAATTAATTTATTAACAAAATTAATTAAAGAAGAGTTGTCATTTTTGTCGTTGTCGATATCGTTTTGTTTCTTTTTGTCAATCTTAACAAAGGTTTCGTTGCGTGAAGCAAAAATGTTGAAAGCCATAACTGCATAAAAACGTTTTATATATAGAAAAATATTCTATTATTCTCTCAACCTTCAATCAAATTTAATTTAGTTGAATGTTTAAAACATTATGTTTTTAATGTTTTTTAAACATTTTTCATTATACCAAGACTTTTTTTTTTAGAAAAAAAGAATTTCCACGTGCATTGTTAATTGCACGTAAATAATTGCAATTTTAATTGACAAAGTTTAAATTTATTTTACTATTGGACAACAAGATATTCAGTGTTATTAATGACTAAACTGCTCATTCATGTGATTCAAAATGCAACTATAAAGTTTGAAAAATTATACAATAACATTTGGAAATGAAAAAATATATATAATTTTAAAACTCATTTTGTATTGAGAAACGTATTTTAAAACGCAACAACAATGTTTAAAAAAACAGTACAGTCGCAATTCAAAATATTAAATCGCGTGTCGGCTACTTTTTATTAAGTTTGGTGAAATTATATAACGCACCATAGTGTAGTTCATAGTGTAGTTCATAGTGTAGTTCATATTGTAGTTCATAGTGTAGTTCATAGTGTAGTTCATAGTGTACTCATTGCTGAATTATTTTAAATGCTTTTTAAAGTTTTCTTTAGAATAATCGCGAAGAACAAAATCTTTATGGATCAAATTATGGTTTTATTAATAAACGCACTTTGATAAGTAAAAAACTGTCAGAGCTCTTGACAGGCATTTTTAAAAATATTTCAGTCACATTTGGAGAAAACAAGTTGTCCGGTGCCACCGGATGACCATGAGTAGAGCTCACTCATATCTTTTAAAGTTTTGCACAGAAGCGTTTTCATTTACTTGATCACTTATTATATATTGTATGACACTGAAATACCGTCAATGTGAATAAATCCTAACATAACGCCATTATTCAAAAATGGAGATAAATCAGGTCAATTTATTGATCAGTATCATTTACTATAGTGATAAAAAAAATAATGGTATCTTAAAAGCTTCATTTATGTCACATTTAAAAAAAAATCTTTAGACTAAGGAACAGCATGGATTTTTTTGAAGAAATAAACTGTTGTACAAACCTTATAGAATCTAGCAAAATTAGCCAATTAAAATTGACCACTTGAATTTGTTGCTTATTTATGTTTTTTTTTTTTTTTTATTTTTTTTATGTAGGGTGGCACTGGTCGCTTCGATTTGACTATTGAACAAAGATCTAATTTGCAAAAAACGGTTTTAATTTTAGTTTTTTTTTTTATACTTTATCATTTTTATACATAATTTTATTCTCCATGTTATTATTTATCTTTATTTAAATATATTATATATATATATATATATATATATATATATATATATATATATATATATATATTATATATATATATATATATATATATATATATATATTGTATGAATATATGTTCAGATTGAAAAGTGTTTGGCTACCATTCAGATGCCTCAAGAGGTTCTTGATTGCAACCTTACCCCGACTGGTCAGTTTTCAACAATGTCAATTTTCATGTGATATTTAATATAAAAGAGGATATTCATTTTCTAAAATTTTATCTCATTTAGTTGGTACCATATCGTTTGATCCTGTTAAAAAAATTCTGACCTGGGATGTAAGTATTTTAATCTTTGTTTCTTATAAATAATTTTTTTGCTTATTATTGTCATTTTATCCTAATTTTGCATTAGCCTATAACTTTGATCACTAATAATTTTCATATTTAGATAGGAAAAATTCAAAAGATTATACCAAATCTGAGAGGAAATGTATGTTCAGGTTTGATGATGAAGGATATTTTATGCTTAATATATCTATATATTAGCAATGGTTTTGATTGGTTTTCAAAATTTAAACCCTTTGTTTAGATTACTCTTATGACTGGTGCTTCTGTTCCTGAAGAGTCTGCTGTTATAAATGTTAGTTATTTTATTACCACTGTTTTATTTAAAATAATAGTTCTAAAAAAAAATTGTTTTTCTATTTTTTAATGTTAATAACTTAATATCATGGTATTTAAATATCTTTTTATAAATATTTTTATCTTGTCTGGTGCCTTTTACTTTAATGCGTCTGCAAGTCTGTTTGATTAAAAACCATATCAAGCGAAAAGACTTTATATGACTATTATTATTATTTTTTTTTTTTTTTTTTGTCATCTTTTATTGGTGATTAAATGGCATTTTTTAATATTTTGTGATTTTATGACATTTTTCATAAATTTGTTTAAGCTCGAGTACCGTATTGGGCAATATGCAGTATCAGGCTTGCGAATAAATCGTTTAGATATATACGGCGAAGTAAGTCAAAATTTTATTTAAATTTGTTTCACGCAATAATATTGTACTCTAAACAATAATATTGTACTCTAAGCAATAATATTGTACTCTAAGCATTTCTATTAACTAATAAGCAATTTTTTTAAACTTAAATTTATATTATATTAAAGTGAACTAAACTTTATCTAATTTTAAAAAATCTTAATTTTGTCAAGAAATACAAGCCTTTTAAAGGAGTAAAGTATGTAACAAAAGCTGGAAAAATTCAAATAAGAACATAAATTTATTTATGAAGTAAACCCGACGACGCAGATGTTGTTTACGCTGAACTAAAAAATACAATATTGCTCGTAAATATTAAAATGTTACACATCATTCTTCATTCTTGTCGCATCGTTGCACATAAAGATGAAGTATACCAGAAGAATAAAACTTTTTACTTAAGTTATTTTTATGTGAATTTTTTTTTAGTAAAAGTCTTACCTTCGTAAAAGTGTTCAGTTTAGCGGTTCGATATGCATTATTATGTGTATATGTGTTGCGTATAATATAGAATGTGTGGTTGTGTTTACTGATAGAAATTTTAGTAGTATTCTGTAATTCAGTTTTTAGGTATGTTTGGTGTGTTATATATTAGTTAATATATTAGTTTAAAAAAATAATAATTTTTGAATTTTCTTAATTTTTTTTTTTTTGTTCAGTGGAATTGATGATTATTTTTTAAACAAAGTTTTTGTATTTAATTATTACTATCTATTATTTTTAAAGTGGTGGCTTTTTCTTTTTTTAAAAGTGGTGTTATTTTTTCCTACCCACAATTTAAATAATACAACCAGCGCAAATTAAGAAAATACCTTATTTTTCCCACTGGAAATACCACACTTCAGTATATGAGTGCACAATAAAAACTGTTTAAAAAACAAAAAATACCTATTGTTTATGTAAAGATAATGATCTTAATTGCTAGCTATATAATAATTCATGAACAATAATAGATTTATGTGAAGGTTTAAACTACAAAGTACCAGCTTCCTGATAATTAAAATTATAAAACAGTATGAAAAAGTTAAACAAAACTGTGTTTACCTCTCGCTTATAACACGTTATAAAAATGCGAACTACTACAAGAGATGGCTTCCTCTTACCTTGAGTTATTTCAAACCAATCTCTTATGCAAATCAGTATAACACAATTTTTGTTCCTGGCTTCTAAGTGTTATATTTCAATTGCTTGTTTAAAGTATGTGAAAAAAATGACTTCATTAAGCACAAACTTTGCTTGCACAAAATAAGAGCACAAAAAAAATTGCTTTTTTGTCAAAAAAATTTCTTTGTACTTTTTCATTTTCGTCATTATAATTAGGTAAAAACAAAAATAGCACAAACACAATTTGAAAGGAAGGTCAAGCCTCCTTCCTTACCGATGTTATAAAACTTTCCCAGAAGTGGCCTTCAACTACGGATTGTTAGCTTCTGAACAAGCGCGCTAACCACTGCGCTACGGCTGCTCTATATTTAAATGTCATTTAGAAATTTAATTTTCATTGTTCCGGTCATAAAAGCAAAGTTTTTCTGGAATAACAGCGATTCTTTTTCTGTTTTTTATTCTCTTTTGTGTTTTAGACGATTCTCGATTCTCTTTTGTGTTTTAGACTAGGGTTAGGAAAACACAGTTTAACAAAACAAAAGTGAAAATTTGTTACATAGTTTAACTGCTTCGCCAAAAATTTACTTTTAAAATCTATTTTTTTCTAGATTTAAGTCAAAAAATATACATAAATCAATAACATGAATAAGAGTGCTCTGATACAACAAAATTATAGTATTAAAAACAACAATACAAAAAATAAAAATATAAAACAAAAGTTATGCATAAATCTAACTAAAACTAATATATATATAGAAATGCTATTATTAAATTGCTTAATAACTCATTTAAATTGTTGATTTGAAAGTGCAAAGTAGATGAAAACTCTTTTGGCGCGAAATTGCGTGTATATGGGTACGTATATATACACATATACACGCGTACATATGTGTATATACATTTTTTTAGTTTAATTTTTTAAGTTTTCATTTATTAGCTGTATTACATTGCATATAAACAGTTATATCAAATGCAAGATTGAAAAAACCGCTTTATCTGATAGATGTTGTAATAAAGATCTTGTCGTGAGAACAATATAGTCTAGTAAATAGAGGGTTGAAGTGGAAACTAATTAATGCAGAAGACATTTTCAGCTTAAATCTCTCTACTACTCTTCAATTGTTGAAATCCAAAACCCCACCTCTTGAACGCTTTTCATAATCTGATGTCAAAGTTAGGTACCTAATACGATAAATTTCAAAAGCATATGGTTTTCTTAGGAAATTCTAAAACAGCGCCTCTATTCATATTAAAAATATGAACTTCTCAGTTACTAATTTAATCTCATTTAAGTTTATATTTATCAAATATAAATGTAAGTAAACAAAAATATAAATTTTTCAGAAAATATAATATCGTGGATGTCAAAAAAAATTAAAATAGCGGATTTTTAACGGATTTTTAGCCAAATTTGCCTAAATTAGGCTATTTATAGGTTGTAAAATGTTATTAATGACTAATATCTTTTTCTGATTTGTCATGATTAAAAGAAAAGTGAACCTCAAGGAGGAAATTTATTACTGTTTTTTATTTTTAGGCGGTAATAATTTTATTTTTAGCCAATTTTGCACTAGTTAGGCTGTAAAATATTAATAATAACAGTTATTGGGCAATCTTATTCTGGATTTTCATGATTAAAAGAAAATTGAATCTCAACGACTAAATTTAAAAATGTTATATATTTTCAGGGCGTTAACATAATTAAAAACTGTGGATTTTCAGCCAATATTACATAAATTAGGCCTTTTATAAGCTGCAAAATGTTATTGACTGTTATTTGTCTATCTTATTTTGATTTGTCATGACTAAAAAAAAGTGAACCTAAATGATTAAATTTTAACAATATGAAAATATCAATATTATATCAATATGAGTGAATTTTTATAGATTTGAAATTATATCAATTATATTTCTATCATAGAGTCGTCATTAAAAATATTGTCGGATTCATCTTGAGTTGTGTTTTCACAACCAATACCTTTGCAACCACCACATGCCGAAACAAAAAAAAGATCATTTCTTTGACACAAACCTAGCTTATATCCACATGGCCTCTTCGATGATAATTTGCAGTGACATCTAATAACGTGAAGAATTTTCTCCGGTGCAATGTTCTAAATAATTATAACTTTTTATATTTGCTCTTAGAATCTAATAATATTAATACGCTAATTTAATAGTAGTAATAGTCGACTTACGTCATTTTGTAATCTTTTCTATTTTAAAATAGTTTCTAGACTTTACTATACGCGGTTTTTTTATTTTTTATTTTATTTACTAACAACCCGTATTACGGGTTGCTTACTGCTAGTAGAATATAAGTACCAAAAGAAGAAAAAAAAGATACCTCGTTGGTCATGATGGGTACCAATTTTCCACTTATGATCTTCCACCCCATTTCAACGGATTCAAGCTACACTTCTTTAACTTTTTTCACTGCCAAACCTGAAGGTATACTCTTAAAATGTAAAATACTACCCTCTTTGTTGGTGGTAGCTTCGATGGTGCAATTCTTAAGGAAGGTGCAGCCGTTTGCATATATGTGTTGTACCTCGTCTCTGAAAGTACGTCATTAGCTTTTACGTATGAAAAACTAAAATGCAGGTATCAATAAACAACTTGATACCTGCATTTTCAACTTTTTCTTGCATACTAGACAAGTTCACGAGGCAGTTGAACAATTTTTGTGTCTCTTTTGATTTCTGTAGAAGGCATAATGTCGAAGCTTTACCTATTTCATGAATAGCTGATGTTGTATCACATCCACCAAACGCATGAATGAGAAGCATTGTTGCAGTTTCTATATCTAACTGCTTGCGTTGGCTTCTGCAATTTTTACCGTAGTTTGAACTTATGATAACCTGACCCATCCCCTTCTTCCAAAAATACATCAACAATGATTACATCAGTATCGTTGGTAAAAACTGTTACGAATCTTCATTTTTGGATTGATCCAAAGCTGCTTTAGCTATCATTGTGTCAGCATCATCATTTGCATGCATAACAGTGCAGCCATCAATTTCAAATTTATCATTGATCAATTCAATTAACTTACTCTTGTTAATTTGATTTGAAAGGAAAGTGTTTGGTTGGCTGACACCTATATGTCTGACCGTACATCAATATCAGGACAACTAGCTAACTTCATTAACCGCCTATGATGTTTATGATCTTTTGTTGATGGGTTGTTATTATAACCGTCAAAACCAATTGTAGCTTTCACAAAGTTTGCTCTAACATTTTTCTGTACAGATCAGCAATATTTGTAAAAGTTGTATCACTTTTCCAGACAATCTAAAAATAAAAGTTAACTATATTGTATTTAATTATTATATATATATATATATATATATATATATATATATATATATATATATATATATATATATATATATATATATATATATATATATATATATATATATATATATATATATATATATATATATATATATATATATATATATATATATATATATATATATATATATATATATACAGTATCGGACAAAACAAGTGCAACCAAATAGTTCTAATTTAGTTTCTTTATATAAAAGTGCTGCATTTTTTCAATATAGAGAAATAACTATGTAACTGTTTAGAGACAACGTTCTTCAAGTTTTATTCATCACAAAGTTCATTATTTGTACACGAAAATTAATAAATTAATCAAAAGTATTAAAAAAATTGATTTCCTTCTGGACAAAACAAGTGCAACTCCACAAAATGTTGACCAAGCTGTCTTTTGCTATTTATATTTCCTGGCGAATCCTTTGTTGTCGATCACAGCCTTGCGTTTTCGAGGCACAGAATTGATCAGGTCATCAATGAAACTTTGAGCTCAGGCCTCTTGGATTTGTTCAAACAGTTGATCCTTAATACGAACACCTTCACGATTAATTCTGCGGTTGACGATTTCCCACAGGTTCTCGATAGGGTTGAGATCCGGAGATTGAGGCGGCCAATCCATCACCGATAGGTGGTTGTCTTGAAACCAAGACTACTTTTGCTTGACTACTTTTGCAGTGTGTTTTGGATTGTTGTCTTGCTGAAAAACCCATTTTATTGGCATATTCCATTCAGCACAAGGTAACATAACATCTTTCAGGATATTTTTATACACGAAACGGTCCATTATTATATCGATTCGATGTATTGGATCTAGACCGTTAGCAGAAAAACACCCCAGACCATTACATTGCCTCCACCATCCTTCACGGTCTTATGGCAGTAACGTAAATCGAGGCGTTTTCTGGCCGGTCGACGTACATGGCAAATGCCATCGCTTCCAATGATGTTGAACTTCGATTCATCACTAAACAGGACAGTTCGCCATTTCTGAACATTCCAGTCAATATGAGATGTAGCAAACAGGAGTCTTTTCTTCTGGTTCTTTAGTGAAATCAGCGGTTTCTTTGCAGGGCGTCGAGAAAACAATCCGGCTTCAACAGCACGTCGTCTGATTGTTCGGTCCGATACAGGCAGCTCTAATT